GGGTGGGTGGTAGCGAATATTCCTTCTTAGGGGGCCTCGGGAGCCCAGCGGGCCCGCATCCCCCGCCCCCCGTTCGTAGTTTAGGGCGCAGCTGAACGCAGCGCTGGAGGAGGGCGGGGGGGCGGCTCAACTCTCAGGCCGGCGGACCCCAGAGTGTGGCTTTGGGAGTGTGTGGTCGGCGCGCAGGGACCGGAGCGACACTGGAGGAAAATAGCATCAAAAGTCACCCATCCAGTGACAGGCAGCCTAAGAGCGAGTGAGGGACATGGCACATCCTAACGCCGGGGTTAGAGTTACCGGCCGCGGTGGAGAGGCCGGGGGCGCCGTGTTCCCGGGAGTACCTGTTCCACATGTGATTCCCGCAGACGGGGCGCAGGGTGGCCGAAACGCCCGGTGCGTCCTGCCGCGATGCTTGTGGACAGAGTGGCGGCCGGCCGAAGTCAGGTGTGTGCTGCTGAAACACACGCCAGAGCAGCGGCTCACGTTCCCTGCCCCCGGGCTGGAGAACAAAGTCACAAAGCTGGCAGTTCTCAGCCGCTCCGGCCAGGCCCAGGACCTTTTTCCTTGGGGTCGTCTTTAAGCAAAGGGCATTGATAGGGTCCTGCGGCCAGCTTGGCTTGGGGAATGCTGTGTGTGTGCCCTCCCAAACGCAGGCTAAGTGGAAACTTGCCTTTACCCCTCCTGGCACTTAGAGCTTTTCGGTCACTGGGCAACAATGAAAATAACGGGGAAGAGAAAACATCAGGCATTCTGATGGCCAGGTCGGTCGCTTTAACACTTTCTGGTTTTAAGTTTTGTCGAAATGCGGCGTGAATCACGAATGTCAGAAGTAAACAGAAAGTTCAGGTTACAAGGGCCGTGGCTAAGGGACAGGTCGGAGTCGCTCTGAGACTGAACAACTGACTTGGATAGCACGCTTACGGCCGTCGCCTCTGTCAGATCAATAGTCTATTTCTGGAGAACAGTGAATATTAAATGGGAGTTAAGGTTAGGAGAGATGAATGCTGCAGCCTGGAAAACGCCGAGGGCGGGCTCACTTGGTGGAACACTGAGTACCTTTTGTAGGGAACATTGCTACGGGCCTGCTGAAGGCCAGGATCGGAGAGTCCACCCTAATTTCACTTGCCCTGTCCCCCGCCCAGACCATAGCTTTGCTAAGTGTTTATTTCCTAAAACAACAGCATGGCAGTGTGTCAGCATCAGTCCTGGGGTCTGACTGCTAGCATTTCACCGTTTTCTCCTGCTTCCCCCCCTTTCACCTGCTGCCAAGCTCTCTTCCTGCGGGGACGCTGGCGCGGCCCCTCGCGAAGGGCGGCTGGGACAGTGTGGGTCCGAAGCCCGACTGAAGTGGGACAGCAGTAGGTTATTAATAGCGTTGTCCCTTCGTGCCGGGCCGGCGTTCGCCCGAGGGTCTGGGTCTCAGCCGTCCTTACCCCGCGTGCCTTCCTGACGGGATTCCTAAGTCTTCCTGGTGTGGGCATTTTGAATGAGTGTGAGCAAGCTCTGAGTCGACCTGGAACAGTTAACAACAGTGACGTTGACCTGCTTTGATAGGTTACATCATGCGTTGTTGTTAGAGCTCTTAATCATTTCGGTGCATATTAATATGATCTCTCTCTAATTTTTTTCTTTTTTCTGTTTCAGTTGTAGCAAGTTTAATCATCCTTCAGTTGTCTGGGGCAACCAAGAAAGGGGCAGGTGCGTTTCTTTGGAGAGCTGTGGGTGGGAGACCTCTAATTATTAACATTCCCCCGTGTCCCCTATATTCTTAACATCCCAGAATGTATGAACATTTGTTCGTGTGTAAATTGAGTGGTTTTGACTAAGACAACCTTTAGAAATTAATTTACTAATGGGTATTATAAGAATGTGCCCTGTATTTTTAGTTCTATAGAAAATTGGATGATGGCTCTTTTTAAAAAAATATTTTACAGAGAAGCAAACCACCTCAGAAACCCAGAAGTCAGTGCAGTGTGGAACTTGGACGAAACATGCGGAGGGAGGTGTCTTTACCTCTCCCAACTACCCCGGCAAGTACCCCCCGGACCGAGAATGCATCTACATCATAGAAGGTGAGGAGCGGGGCCCGCCTGGGCCGCTGTGCTGGGGATGGACAGTTATGGAAACTGGTTTTGGAAACCATGCCTGTGAATATCTCTCAGTGGGTCAAATAACTATAAACTCTGTGATTAAGCTAATTATTGAAATTACTAATGATGGGTTAAGAACAAATTCTGGGAATTACAAACACAGAAACAACTTGGCTATTTGGCAGTTGATTTAATTGCTTTGGAATTCTAAATTAGTAGAATGGACACACGGTTGGCCTAATACTACCTAATGTGTCACAATTTTGGAAACTGGTGTTTTACTCGTTTAACAGGGATGAGAATAACCTGCAGATTTGTTGTTTTTCTCTTTGCTGATATAAAGCACAGAAAGCGTATGCATGTCAGAAATAAATCTCGAATCCCATTTTCCAAACATCTGTCCGAAGGGCAGCTGCCTTCGTTGGTGCTAGCAGGTGACGCTATCGTACTTGACCACCGAAGTCAGGATTCCCAATTCGGATGCCTCTTTCCATCTTTTTCCCCAGCTGGACAGAGCGATGGTGCTGGAACGAGATTCAGTTCTCTCTGGACACTTTATTGCCCTTACCCTTGTAGGCACCTCCCTGTGAAGTATGATTTTTTAGAAGCCTAGATGAACATTTTACCTAGTGATAGGTTTTAATATGTGTTAGTAACTAACAGCCCAAAACTTGTAACCTCTTCCCTGACACAGACAGACAGAGAGACGGGCAGAGCTACCTTAAAGGAAAGATATGTCTCCGCTCAGTGTTTACTTAGAAATAAGGGACTCTTACTTAGAAAGAAGCAGCCTTTATGTTTAACTGATTTCAAGAATTTCTATTTAGAAATGATTCACTTTCCTTTAGCAATTTTGGGGCCAGCATCTTTCCTCTCGCCTTGTCCTGCTTGAGGTTGGACTTTGAACAAAGGCGCACCTCTGATGGGGGGGGGGCTGCTGAGAGAGCGGAGTCCCGGCCCGGCCCGGGTGCTTTCTCCTACGGCTGATAGGAAAGGAGGTTGGGATATGGAAATTCTGGGGTAAAATTAGCTCTTTTTACTAAGTTAATGTTAGGTACATATATTATATAGATACGTGCTATGAACTTTAAAATAACATAAATTGAAACATTTAGTCATAGGAAGCAGGTGTGTGTTGGCCCAAGTTTACAGATAAAGAGACGGGTTCAAGTTCACATAGCTTGTGTTTTGTATTTTACACTTCAAATTATGAAGAATCATGAAGTTAACTAGTTCCCTCATTTAAATAATTAATTCAGAAGCAAATCCTTGCGTGTTAATGGGCTTCCATGCCTATCATCAGTGGAATCAGAAAGCTCTGCTCACATTGATTTTCACATCACGCACATGTCTGCACTCATTCCTGGGACAGGAAGGGCAGAATTTAAAGTTGGCAACTGGGTCCTCCTGTTACTCTTTCCCATACTTTTATAGCCTTTTGAAATACTTCATACTAGTCATTTTTATTCATATATTTATTTAGCTAATATTTCCTGCAACAGCTACCAGGAAACAGCCGCTCTTCCAGGTACAGTCTGGACAGTGCTGACCAGCACAGCCGTGAGGCTTGCCTTGAGCTGGTCACCACACGGTTGGGCTGGGGACTGTGCTCCTTTCAGGAAACAACCCAAAGTCTCCAAACCAGCACAGCGTGCGGACCAGGGGAAGGGAGAGAGGCCTCCAGGAGGCGGAGGTGCTCAGCTCATTTTCGCAGAACAGGCAGGAGGTGGTCATTCTCCTTATGGAATAAGGAGCACAGGCGGGCGTTGACAGAGGTGTGCTCAGGACCTCGCGGAGGGCCCTCGGCCCCTGGAGAGGGAGAGGGCGAGGGCGGGAACCAGCGAGGAGGCTGAGGAGGGGCCTGTCTCAGGTTCCGGAGGACTTGGGAGTCCCCATGCTCCCCCAGGAAAGTGAGTTACGGACGATGGAGTGCCACTAAAATAACTTAGAGAGATGAAAAGGCGAGATTTTGATGAAGTGCCTAAAGGGGAGGATGCAGGTTGAACCTGACTGTGAAAGGCCAAGTAACTGTGAGTGGCAGCGGGAGCTCCAGCCGCAGAGGTGCGGCGGGCGGTGGCCGAGGGGAGGGGTGGTTTTGGGGAGCGGGACCTGGCTGTGGGAAGGAGACGAGAGGGGGCCCCAGGACTCTTCTCGACGTCTTGGCTTTGTGACTTGTCGGATGGAATTACTGTACCAGACAAGGAATATAGGTAAAGGAAGACGGTTTCAGGGAAAAGTGACGTGTTCAAGTTTGGTGTTTATGAAGATGTCTTGTAAGGAGATTGGATATATGGATCTTTAACTCAGTGCAAGGTTCTGGGCTGAAAATATATATTGGTAGGTCATACGTATAGAGGTTTCGAGGGTATTAGAGATTGTTATTGAGGATACAGAGATGGCTGTTGAAGTTAATGAATAAAATTGCCCGGAGAGAGTATCTGGAGCACTGTTTTTCAGCTCTTTCAAAACATATAGACTCCTAGGCCTGTCCCCAGAAATTTTGATTTAATTGGCCTCTGATAGAGCTGCAGGCATCATTATATCACAGTAGCTCTCCACTGGGATGACAGTGGCACCCAGAGCACTGCTCTAGAGGGAGATGAAAGAAGACACAGAATTTCAGGAAAACCATGTGTAAGGGGTGGGCAGAGTCAAGAGAAGGAAAAGCCAGGGGATGGACTGGAGAGTCAGGTTTTTAAAGGCCACAGCAGCTGAGTGAACAGAGGTTCAAGAAGCAGGAAACAGCGAAAGAGCCGGCATCACAGAAAAAATCAGTTCCAAGCAAATGCTTCTGCTGTGTGAGGCAATTAAGAATGTGTTAGTCATTTCAGGGTGTGTGCTCTCAGGACACAGTGGGCGTGGAGCCAGCTCCCAGTGGGTGGAGCGCTTGGGGGGTCTCTGGACCCACCATAGAAACGCCGTTTCTTTTTTCCTTTGTCTTCTTTTCTTTCAATGGGGCAAATCGTCATGTTTAATTCTGTGAAGGATTGCCTGTTCTGCAGGAAAAGGTAAATTTAAAACACAAGACAAAGAGGTATAAAGAGTTGGTTAAGTTTCTTAAGGTAAGAAGATAAATTGAGCTCACTGCAGGTGCAGCCTCAATCACAGAAAGGGGGATCCCTTTTGTGGGTTTCAGGCTGTCCTAAAACTCCCTCAAATAGGAGGCACTATACCGGATAAATGTGCAGTATTTAGGAGAAAGGGCTCATAGGTCTGAGCGTGTCCAAAGAGTCCCCAAGTGGTTATGACCTCTTGAAAAGGGAGCTGCTGCTTCAGATCAAAGGTGGCTTATCGAGAGAGTGACAGTGAAGGGCAGCTGTGGCCTGAGAGACTTGAAGGGGGAGAAAATGGAAATTTAGGGAGTTGGACCTAGAGAGTTCTCCATGGTTAACACGCACCATCTTCGCTCATTTTTCATCTGCAACGAAAACCATATGACATACTTATTTTTTAAAGTTATGTTACTACCTTCTAATATTCAGTTAGTGGAATTTCAGATGTGAGTGTGTGTAGTTAACTTCAATATTCTGGGCCAAAGAAAATGAATTGTCCATGTATAATGTGGTTTACCCAGTGCCATAGAGGGTGCATTTCCTGAAGGAACATGGAGAGGTTGGATCTTCCGCGATGGACAGAACTTAAGGGGCAATGAAAATGAATGTACAAATAAGTGAACTCGTGTTGGATGGCCATGAATTTCCTAATAGGGAAAATAGATGGGTATATGCTGATTGATAGAGTTTTAGCTAAATTTGCTTTACCTTTCCCTAAACATACATTATTTATTTCTAATGAAATAATAGTCCTTATTCTGACAGTTTGCTTCCTCATAAAACTGATACCGGCTTATCAAGAGGAGACAAACAGACACATTCTATAAGACAATAATACGTACTTTGATGCTAATACATAAATAGGCCCAGTTTCTTAAGCATTTGCCTTTTTGCTTTTAGACTTGTGGGTGGGGGAGGGGTATGGTTTTCCAGGTAATTTCTTAGGATATTTTCCAATTTTCACATTTTAAAAAATCATTGGTACTTCCTCAAATCTGTATTTGTTGACCTTCATGATACATGTTAGTGGTAGATAGACCTATTCTGATTTTACTCATTAAGGTAACAAATGTCTCTGCAATGACCAAAGAGTTAGAAACATTTTTAGAGATTAAAAATCATCCATAGAATAGTCTTTCAACATGGGTTGACCTCTAACCAGGGTAGCTTCAGTTTTATCTTTGGAAAGCATCAAGATTATATTTCTATTTTATAAGTCTCTAATTTCCAATTCATCGTGTATCTCGAGTCTGCATGAATTTTTGACTTCCATGCATGCAAAGCTCTAATTTTAGAGCCATCAAGGGTAATACTCAATATACATCTAAGAACCAGGGTGGCGTGAACAGCAGCCCTTCAGAATGATCACTGAGCACTGATCCTGTGAGGAGAGCTGTGCCAGGACTTAGCTTTCAAGTGTCCAGAGGGGGCAGGTCCATGAACAGGGCCTGGCGGCTGAGAAGCACTCAGAGGACTCAAGTCAACAGCTGTTTACAAACAAAGACAAATGTGTGGCTGTTTGAACACCTGTTCGGGCTGTTCGGGGGTATCCTGGCTGAGTACCAGTCCAGATGCCTGAATCCTGAACTGGGTGGAAGTCACAGGGAAACATAAAGGCACCAGCAAGCCCATCCACGTGGAGGTTTCCAGAGCTGCCCTGGAAGTCCGTCCACGATGCCTTAGAGAGCTGTGAAAACATTTATGCAGATTATAAGCTCATGTACAATTTACCCAGTGAAGAATTTTTCGAGAAGTCCTCACTGACAAGTACTGTGCTGAGTGCTGGAAAAAGGTGAATAAAGCCTAGTCTTAGTGAATAGGTTTAGAGAGGTTTCTTTTAAGCGAGACTTGCCTGTAGAAACAGGAGTTAACAAATTGGAGTTATTTAGATACTCAAGAAAGTGGGGAAATGCACAGAAGCCTAAACAAGGGAAGATGGTTTGTCTGAGGTGACCTGAGCTTGGGCTGCAGGCAAAGCGAGGCGACCCTGGGCGTGTGGGCCGTAGGACACTCTCCAGGATCCCATATGTTAAGTGTTTTGATCAGTTTTCCTGAACTGTTAAGAGGGTTGCTGAGTAAGTTTGAACCGGGGGGTGACATGAAAAGATTTGTGTTCAGAGAAAGATTGCTCTTCACTGCCTTGTACCCACACTTTGATCTTTCCAGAGCCATCTGATTGGGCCTATTGGGACGGTCGCATAACTGTGCCACCCCATTCTCAAGTGGCGTCTGACCTTAAAACTGGGTAGCCCAGAAAATACAGAAAGAAAACATGACAGAAACATGCTTCTCTCCTTTCTAAACCCAAGTTAGCAGCCTTTCACAAAAACACTGTGAGTTTTTAGTTCTCTGTTAGACATGGAAATGGTCATTTTACATCAGAATAATATTTTGTAGGATCATTCCTGAGACTTTATATGGAAATAGTATTCCTTGCAAAGCTAAGTGTAGAGCATGCTGGCTTTGTGTTTCCACGTGTCTCATGCTCAGAGTTTGATAGATGTGCAGATGAAATCTGAAGCAGAATCAGAAAAATCAGATTAAAGATGTCAGAAGGGCCTCGTAGATATAATTTTTCTATTTTTCAGCGGCCCCAAGACAGTGCATTGAACTTTACTTTGACGAAAAGTACTCTATTGAACCGTCTTGGGAGTGCAAATTTGATCATATTGAAGTTCGAGATGGACCTTTTGGGTTTTCTCCAATAATTGGACGCTTTTGTGGACAACAGAATCCACCTACAATAAAATCCAGTGGAAGATTTCTATGGATTAAATTTTTTGCTGATGGGGAGCTGGAATCCATGGGATTTTCAGCCCGATACAATTTCACGCCTGGTAAGTAAGCTCCTGTTTCTTCCTTACCTCTTTTCCTTCCTTAGTTTAATATCTTCCCAGTACAGGAACTTTTATAAGACAACTTTATGATTTGTCAAAGAATTTTCCAGTTCTATTTAAAATCAAACCTCTAGCGAATGCTCTCTTTGCATTTCATCAGTTCTGAAGGGGAATAGGTTTTCCTTAAGCCCGCGCGAGGTGAAGTCCAGTGACTCCAGGGTCCGAACGGTCATCAGCAACACAGTTAATTGAACGGACCTCCATTAAGATGAAACGTGTCATTTCACAGATCGTCTTTAATAAGGAAGCTAATTATACATTAAATCCCAATCAACTCGAAAAGGCAATCGTAGTATCCCAAAATGTATCCATCAAAATGATCTTTGGAGAATTTGAATAAAAAGCCCGTTGGTTCTGAAAACTATAATTTTTAAAGCAAATGGATCTTAGTATAAAGCTGTGTAATCTCTTTATAGAAATGCAAATCCCTAGCAGTTGGGATGAAAGAAAGACAGAGACCCGGGGCAGCCACGTGTTCATTTGCGGGACCTGGCAGTCATTATCTGTAATTATGCAATTGCACACTCTGTGTCAGTCCGCCCATTAGCTTGCTCCTGTCAAAGAGGGTCTGTGATGTTCACTGGCGCACTTTATGATGAGCTATCACTTAGCACAAGAAAAACTGGTTATCACATTTTAAACTGCAAGAATGTCAGGCTAAAGCGATTTGAGATTTGACCAACAGAAGCCTTTTTTTTTTTTTTAATGGAAAAATAAATCAGGTTACATTATCTATATACAATTGCATATTTTTTTTTCAGTTTGTACATATTGTTTTACTTAGGTGAGAACAGGCAATAGATGAAATTGGGATATATGTAAAATTTGTTGGAGTTTCTATCCTATGTTATAAAGGTAACCTCAGAGCAGGGCTTGGATGCTCAGTTCAAGTACTAAAACTTTAAAAATAATATAAAGTGAACGATGACTTTCACTATGACAGCATATGTCAAGTAAGTCAGATGTTAACTGTATGAGGCACATTCACCTTAAACAGAAATATTTCTGTAAGAGCACTGGGAGATTGTGGCTTTAATTATGCTTTGCTAATATTGTATTGTTTACAGAAATCATGGATATTTTACACGTGTAGCTCAAAACCTTTTGATGTATTTTTAAAGGTGCAAACATTTAGATGACTTTCTTAGTGCTAGAGTTGTAAATGGAAATACGTAATTTTCATTAACTGATCATTTCGAGCATAACCAGGGCCTAAAGATAGCTGCACGTGGTATGGTCTAGGCTTTGATCGGTTATATTTTCATCCTGGGATTGGTGATCATGGGATTAAGTCTAGGACTTAAAATCGTGGTTTCACAAAGGGAGGGTCAGCTAAGAGCTTATCGATGCAAGGGATGCGGCCGACCTTTCTGACTGTCCTGGGGACCTTGTGAAGGGTGCAGCTACTCCGCCTCCCCATGTTGTGACCAGCTAGGTGGGCCCCTGGGTGTTGTTCTTTGCTTCCTGTTACTTTAGAGACACCTCGCTTCACCTAGAGAGGAGGGAACATAAGGAGAGGATTCTGTGAAACGAAGGACAAGCTAAGGATTGACAGAGGCCTCGATGTTCACTGCCCCATAGAGAAGTGAACGCTGGACATATGAGGGAAGAGGGGCCATCAGGAGAAGGAGGTTGTAAAGGCCCCGTTGCAACCGAAGTCGATATTCTATGGCCCCAGGCCATTGCCTGGTGACACAGTAATCTACAGTTCATTCCAGAAAGGCAGTGCGGAGGGGGCCCACTAGTTAATGAAACAGGGAGGGGGCAGCAATGGGCCCTGATGGAGACAGGTTCAGGGAAGAGGGAGCCAGGCGGGTTCCTTTTATTCCCGCTTAGCTTTCACCCGGTGGTGGGCTTGAAGTAGGGACTTGGGGAAGCTGAGGGCCGAGATCCTCAAGCCAGCTTCATGATTTAAGTCGTAAGGCGTTGCTGACATCCCCAGGGCACCCTGGGGGCCTGCACACTGGAGGGGAGCCTGCTCGGTCACCTGGAGGCCTGGCACCAGCCCGCATGCGAGGCTGGGAACCAGATCCGGCTTCCAGTCCTGCTTCTGTTTCTCGCTTGCTGTAGACTTTGCACCTAATCCTCAACATTCTATGTCACGGTATTTTTATTTGTAAAATCGGGATAATAGGGACCATTTCATAGGATTGTTTGAAGATAGATTGATTGTTAACCAATGCACATTGATGAATTTATTCACTTCCTGTAAGATCTCAGCTATTGGCAGCTAATATTTTCACTAATTTGACCATGTTCTTTAAAAGCTAAGGAGGCTTGGTATAGATGACTAAGGGAACAAGTGTCCCCTGATATGCAAAACTAATATCTACACGATGTCACTTTTTCTTGCTAGGTTTGTTTAAGGGGGTCTAGGCCTCCATGTGGGGTTATAGTTATTTCTGATGGCAGTCATAAAACACGCCAAAGCAGAAATAGCCATGGGAAGGCCAGGTGGTTTTATTGTTTTTATGAATTTATCACAGTCTGCGATCCGGACCCTAATCTTACAGTCTCATGATGTTGGCACACTGAGGATGCTCCCACCATAGGGATGAATCACATTAACCAAGCTAACGCGGCTGAGTGTACATATATGCAGACGTGCACTTAACCACGTACATAGGCATACACACACATATAAACATGCACACATTCTCAGGAGGAATTCTTAGAAGCACGTAGCTAGGTTTTCTTGTGGGCAGACTTACGTGGGTACGCACATGCTAATCAGAAGGTTGATGGTGCCTGTGGGATCCAGTTGAAGCTCGGATGGCACCCTTGTCTGGTAGCATCCAGCCAGGATGCTTGATTCGTCTCCACGACATGGGCCATTTTTCCACTGTGCTCTGGGTCTCAAACTGCCTGGGTCGGTCCCCCTGCCCAGTCCTCAGCCCCCATATTGCCTGACCAGGACACTAATTTGTGTCAGCTCTTATCGTAAAACTTGTCTCTGTTTCTTAAGATGTTCATAAAGTCAAAGAAAGTCTCTTTGACTTTCTTTTCTTCTCAACTTAAAAAAAATACCCTTTCCTCCCTGGCTCTGGGGCTGCTTCAGTGGGAAGCGGCCAACCTGAGTGCAGGGTAGGAGGGCGGAGCCGGGGGATGTCCCGGGGCTTTTCCTGCCTCTCCCGACTCATTCCCTCGACTCCTCACTTATTCCAGAAAGTGGGGTGATGCTCGGACACTGTGTCATCGCCCAGGCCCACTGTGCGGCGATGAATCAGCCGCGATTGCTAGAGGATGTGAGGCTGAGCGATGACCAGACGTCAGCTGGCAGATCCTGGGCTGTGCAGACTGAAGGGCGGGCGAGGCCCGGGGAGGGTCGGGCCCTGGGCCCTGTGCCCTGCGCCCGCAGGAGGCTCCCGGACGACCTGCTGGGAAAAGTTCTCTTCCCTGTAAGCAGAGTTGTGTTGGGGTGTCTCCTCTCCAGGTCCCCAGAAGACGTGAGTTCAGAATCACTGAGAATGGTAAAAGTCACCTGGTGGAAAATTTGATAACCCCCAGATAACTTAGTAAGAAAACACATAAAACTGCTCGCAGTAATAGAATGGAATTGCCTTCTAATCTTAAGATGACTAAACAAATATTTAAACCAAACTTCTTACATGAAAACGAATGATAAGAAAATATAGGGGACAAAAGTGCTTTAATAATACGAGAATAATATTCACCAGAGTAATAACCACGATTCCTCCGGGCAGGAGCCGTGGGGGATAGGAAGGATTCCGAGGGACCAGGATTGGGATGCAGTGAACACTGTCACCATCATCAGTAATGCTTTAATTTGAGAAAAGATGCCATATTTTTGTATTACTTGTATAAATAAAATTATTTAGGATTAAAAAACCTAAACAGAAAAAAATACTATAGTAGATCATTTTTAAATGAATTTTTAGAAGGGAAAATACCATTTCTCCATATTACACCATTTTTTTTCACTCAAAGAACAACTTTTGAGTAGAAAATAACTTTTCCCTCTAGCCTTTGTGCTTTAATTTTTTTGCCAGTTGAATTATAAACTACAGAGAAAACATGTGAGAGTATCTGTCCCCCCTTCCCCCAGCCCAGTGGCATTACCAGGGGCTTTGTTCAGTATTAAAGAAAAGCATCCAGGCCCCGTCTGGCTTGGCTCAGTGGCTCCGGATGTGTCTCTCTCACATCGATGTTTCTCTCTCTCTCTCTCCCCCTTCCACTCTCTCTAAAAAGCAGTGGAAAAAATATATCCTTGAGTGAGAATTAAAAAAATTAGGCAAGAAAAGCATGCGGGATGCCGTCTGCCCGAGGGGAGAGTAACCCTTTTCCTCTCTTTAGTGTCATGTACCATTTGTTTGCCTTGTTTTCTGCTCCCTAATGGAGGCCTCTGCTGGGTTCGGACAGGGCTGGATGTTTATGGAGCCTTCCTCTTTGGATGATACGTTTTCTGAACTAGTTTTACGAGTTATAACAGAGTTATAACACCCTGTAGGAGGAATTTTAATGTAAAGATCATGCCTCGAAGTACCCTGTGGGTGAGGTTGAGTTAGGCCTTGGCATGGAAGTCAGTGGAGGTGTTAAATAAGTTGAATTTCTGACGCTACTTTGTACTTAAATAGCACCTTTCATCTGAGGAGCTCAAAGTGTTTCAGGAACATTCTGCCCAGTTCCCAGTCTCCTCTCAGACTCGGTTCTGATGGACTTCAAAGCAAGGGAAGGACACACTGCAGTGCAGTGATTTAAATGCAGTGATTTACAGCGATTCCTATGCATATGAATCCAATATGTTATTTAGGTAAAATGCTGTCATGGATTCGATGTGATTTAAATTATTCAGGCAATACTTTTCTTTTTTTTATCTAAAATGTAAGTGCGTGTGTGAGTGTTAACCGTGGTGAAAGTCCCTAAATTTTCTTGTCTGGATCATCAGAGTTTTGATAAATGCTCCGGCAAAAAAGAAAGAA